TCACCTGAACTAACCTAGCTCCCAAGTAGGAACAATGGTGACCTTGGTCTTTCTGAACTCTACAATCAAGAAGGTGATTCGCTGAGACCTCCTGGAGAGGAGTGGTCTGAGAACAGAGAAAAACCCATGGCATGTGTGAATGAGAGTGAGAGAATTGTGTAGCTAGCTCAAGGATCCTGACCCCCTCCAATCCCCTTAGTTGTAATTAGAATGTATGTATATCCCTATTTGTAAATAAACCCAACACTTATTTAAGATTCAGTTGTTCATCAGTAATTTAAGGCACCCCCAAATCGGAGCACATTCTACACCATGCTGTTGTCATAGTTGCAGTATGCAGTTTAGCATTGTCCTGCTGAAATATAGAAGGCTTTCCCTGAAAAAGACATAATTTGGAGGGGAGCATATGCTGCTCTAAAACCTGGATACGCACTCACCGGCCACTTTATTAGGTACACCTGTTTAACTATTTGGTAACACAAATTGCTAATCAGCCAATTACATGGCAGCAACTCTATGCATTTAGGCATCTAGACGTGGTAGATACGACTCGCTGAAATTCAAACAGAGCACCAGAATGGGGAAGAAAGGGGATTTAAGTGGCTTTGAACGTGGCATGGTTGTTGGTGCCAGACGGGCTGGTCTGAGTTTATCAAAAACTGCTGATCTACTGGGATTTTCACACACAAACATCTCTAGGGTTTACAGAGAATGGTCCCAAAAGGAGAAAATATCCAGTGAAGAGCACGGGCATCCAATATTGCGTTTTGGCCTTGTCCCTTGCACTCAGACATTTCTCCAGATTCTCAGAATCTTTTGATGATATTATGTACTGTAGATGATGATATATTTAAATTGTTGAACAATTTTCAGACTTGGCTTTTGCCATATTGGTGAACCTCTGTCTATCTTTACTTCTGAGACACTCTGGCTCTCTAAAGGTGCCCATACACTGCACGATTATCGTACGATAATCGTATGCGATCGGGTTTTCGTACGATAATCGAGCAGTGTGAACGGAGACGTGCGACCGTTTCTACTGTACGGTCGCACGTCTTCTGTCGAACCAGCATGTTCGAAAACCAGCCGGGAATCGTACGATTCTCGGCTGACTTTTTATACTCAATCATGTCACTGACCTGTTGCTAATGAACCTAATTAGTTACAAAATGTTCTTCCAGATCTTCCTTGTTAGTACCACTTACTTTGCCAGCTTTTTGTTGCACTGTCCCAAACTTTTTTGGGACGTGTTGTTGCCATCAATTTCAAAATGACCTTATTTTTTTCTTAAAATGGTAAATTGTCTCAGTTTAAACGTTTCATATGCTTTCTATTTTCTATTGTGAATAAAATTTGAGTTTATGAGATTTGCAAATCATTGCATTCTGTTTTATATGTAGATTTTACACAGCATCCCAAGCTTTTTGGAACGGGGTTGTATATTGGATTCATCCAGCCTATAGTTGCGCGAATGCCGGTTGCACGGCATTACAGACGCTAGATGGAGCCGAGAATCATAAGAAATTTCTATGCTCCCTGGGTTCATCTAGCAGCAATAATGGCGTGTGGTGCCAATTATTCCATATGGTATCCCAACTCACAGTAAAGTAGGTACTGACAGACCTGCGCTGCAGCATTCCACAACACACATGCACAGCATTAAAATTTAGATTTTGGTCCGATTTTTGATGCATTGCGGTCCGTTGGCAAAATGATAATGCTGTCTTAATGCAACACGCATTAATACACTCTATGAATAAGCCTACAGGTGAAACATGTGAGAGGTTGTAACTGGTTGTTATACTGGATTTGCTGTGAATTTCAATAAAGTCTGCAGTATTGGAATTCTCTATATAGTGCGGTCTGTTCGTATACTACTACATTCCAAGGTGGAGACACACCTATTAGACCAGCAACTGGGGAGTCCTGATGGCAGCTAAGGAATTGGAGCGGTAAGATTTTCTTTGGCTCTACACATTAACACACAACACAATGCACATTCATGTGTGTGCAGTAATGCATTACAATGATAACGTAGAAAGAGGACCTATCTGTGTGTTGTCATTTATTTTTATTTGCATACAAATGCACATATCCTTTGCACTATAGCACAAATGCAAATGCTCTGTGTGTTGGGTTGCACTGCATTGTAAAACGTAGTACCACTTTGTGAGCATTTTGATGCATTGACAGCCTGCTCAAAAAGAATGGGGACATGTGGTAATGCACAAAAGTGTGTGTGTGCGCATTCACAGCGCAATGTGTGCGTTGGATGTGACCACCATTGGCATAGTGCACTGATTTTCTTTTTGTTTGATTACGTTGCACTGCGTTCCTACACGTTAAACAAACATTGCGTTGCGCTGAAAAAAGTAAAGTCTGCTCTGAGCCTGCACTACATAGTTGTTGGTAGATCTAAAGGTGATAGTATAATCAGATTGTAACATGTATGGTAAGCTTAACAGGGACACACACAGCGACAAAAAGCAACTGAAACCTGATAGGTGTTCTAGTTCTTCTCTGCTCAATCCAAAACGAAAATAAAAGTTTTGGCTTAATTTGCACTTTAAAGTGATATTAAAGTCAAAAGGTTTTATAGCTATTTCTAATAATTAAATCACTTACAACTAGGGATGCACCGATACTGGCTGGCTCCTTGCTGATTGGCTGGGAAGCCGGCTTCACGGCCAATCAGCCGAACAGCCGACTCCTTGCTGATTAGCTGGAAAGCCAGTTTTCCGGCCAATCAGCATCAAGACGGAGAACAGCGGGCTCCATGCTCATTGGCTTGGGTCATTAGTCGTCGCCCAGCTTCCTGATTGGCCGGGAAGCCGGCTGGATGCTGATTGGCCGGGAAGCCAGTTTCCAAGCCAATCGCAATCGAGCTGGCCTAGCAACATATAGCCTGCTTCCCAGGGAATCAAGAAGCCGGGCAGCATGTAATTACCCGCTGCCAGGCTTCCCGATTGCCCGGGAAGCTGGCTCCATGCCAGCAGAGGCACCGGTATCGGAACTCGGTATCAGCGAGTACTGAAAGCAAAATATCGGTACTCATACTTGATACCAAAAAAACGGTCTCGGTGCATCCCTACTTACAATGGACGCTGCTCATTGATGATTTAAAGTTTTAGCTTTCTGCAGAATCAGCTGCTCCCCTGATCAATGGCCCTGATATCCTGTTTTAAGGTAACTACTTTTCCTTGAAGTCTCCTATG